TCTGGCGCCACCTGTAGACGCTCGTCTCTCGGCTCCGCCCGGGCGGCCTCCGTCTCCCGTGGTCTCCCGCCCGGAAACCCCCATCGGCGGGGACCCTCATCACCCGCACCCATGTTCTCGGTGAGTGTCGGTCCCCGCGGGGAGGGCGCCCGTGTGGTCAGTGCCCGGGAGGTGACAGCGACAGGGGCCAGGACTCCCTGGGCGCTCAGGGTCAAGCCGATCGGCCAGGCCCCAGCGGGAGGTCTGGCGGAGCGGAATGCCCCCTTTTCGCATGTTTTGGTCAAAACCGAACTTGCCGCTCTGAGTGCAGATGGAGGGAAATGTCCATTTGCCACCTTACTTCTCTGGGAGCCAGGGCCGCACGCAGCCTTCTCTGTCGCCTGCATCCTGACTCCAGGGTTCCATGACCCGCGAACAGGGGGCTGTAGCGGCAGACCCACACTTTTAAGCTTCCTCACTGAATAGGCCTCCTGCGCCCGGTACTTGCTTTAATGCAGTGTGAAGAGGTAGGTCCTCCTGCCATCTTTCTTAGAAGGAACTTCACTCTGAAATCCCAGGTCCCCGTGCCCAGCGCACACGTCCTTCTCGCGCCTCCAGACCTGCCCTGTGCGCTGCTGTCGGCTTCCAGCTGGTGGCGGGTGGCAAGCCTGCTGGCCCCTCTTCACGCTCCTGCTGAGTCGGGACACATTTCCAGCCACCTGCCCCTGCTTCACCTTTGTGAGCGGAAGTGGTGGAACCAGTTCACAAGGCCCCAAATTAGGTGATTCGCAGAGTTTGCAGAGACTTTAGGCACTCGGCCCTTCAGCCAGACTGAAACTGTGGCGGCAGAGAGACAGCGTTCGAAGCCACAGGAGGCCTGCATGTTATAGTAGTGGTTCTGACACATTGTTTTGTTTAGAAAAGTCATTTTTAGTCTCTATAAACTTGTGTATTAAGAATAATTCTAAATAGCTTAACTTGGTGACAAAATTAATTTTTTCTTTTGAAATCCTTTTGCAAATCTTGTGTTTTCTCTAACAGCAGCATCAGTGTTTTGGCGGAGGCCTGGTGTTGACCGTAGATGGTAGGGTCTCAGCCTCTACAGTATGAAGTGTGAACGTGAAGGCTCACCTCGCTCAGGCCACAGAGAGCGAAGGCTGGGACTAAGGAGCTGGGGTTCCATCGCTAGTTTGCCTAGTTCGCCGCTGTCCTGGTGAACTTTGCACCTTTTCCGTCCCTTGCGGTGCTTGCTATTCCGTTCCTTCTGTCTCTGGGTCAGATGCTCATTTGTAACACGGGGAACGCAGTGGTGCCTGTTCCATAGGATTGCTGGGAGGACCCATCGGTGAACGCATGCCGCAGAGCTGGCTTAGCAAGCCTGCCCCTCGGCCTGTGACCCTCCCTGCTGCTACTCAAGGTCACAGGTAGTAAATGAATGACAGAGTCAAACTTTGCACTGTAGTCTGCTGATAGGATTGCCACCATGGCTCTGCTTCTTCATGGTATCTTTAGTCCCTAGTGTAGTTCTGTGCCTGTAATAAGGAATAGGGGTCTGTTAATTTAAAAGGTATTTTTTAAATGTCTAACATATTAAATATGTGAGTAAGAAGTTGTACTTTGTACAGGGCTGCGTGGCCTCCCGCTGCTGCTCTCCTGTCCAGGCATATTTCTCGTTTTCTTCTTCCCTTCCTGTATTTTACTTATTATTTATTAAATATGTTTTTATTGATTGATTTTAGAGAGGAGTTATGTATAGTTATTCTTCTGAGCTGTACTTTCTGTTGTAACGTGTGTAACACCTGCGGCATAGCTGTGATAAAATGTGGTTTGCTTATTATTTACTATTTCCTTCTCTCCATCCCATGCATTTCAAAATGAGAACATTGATACCTAGAGTTTTTTTTAATTTAATAACTATTTACAGTGCGCTTACTAAGTGAAGGTCCGTTCTTCCACCCGGCACCTTATTTAATGGTCACATCAACCCTAACCCCCAACAGCTAAAGCACGGGAGGCGGAGTGGGAAGTGACCCGCCCAGCATACGCCAGTGCGTGGAGAGGCGTGGGCTCACCAGTCTGCTGGTCTGAGAAGAGCTGCGTTTCCCAGGGACCTGGTTCCTGGGCTTGCAGCTCACAAATCTCTCTCTCTAGCCTGTTGTGTCATAGTAACATGCACACGCATGTCTTATTATCTTTCCTCGATTAAAAAAACCTTTAAAAGCAGGCACCTTTTTAAAATTTATTTTAACAGGTTTTTGTTCTGTCTACAAAATAAGTTCATTGTAAAAACTTTGAAAAGTACAAATTATCTTTACTTGAAGAAGAAAACAATCATTAACATTTTAGTGTGTTTTTCTAGTCACTGCATGTGGTAATGCACTGCTTTTCTTCTGTAACATGGTGAGTGAATGTTATAGATGGTTTTCGTGACCTTTTCCTGAACGTAATGGGCACTTGTTAAAGAAACTACAAAGTGACTCACAGTGACCACCGGGCCGCTATGGTTTCCCATCTTTATATCTTTATCTCTGCTTAGGGTGGGGCCTCATGTGTAGAAGGCATTTGATAAATTTTTGTTGAATGAGTAAAAATTATAAACCTATACTTTGAAGATCTTTTTAACTATTCAGAGAAACTTCATTACATTTAGACTCTGGACTGATTCTTCGCATTCTGATATTTTGTAACTTAAATATTTATTTTAGAGATAACTTCCAAAACATACAATGTTTTATTACTAGGTGCAATGTAAGATCATTTTGTCATATTTACTTATGTACTTGAGAAGTTTATTCTAAAGAAAGTTCTCCTTTCCAGTGATTGCTCCAAACTAACAGGAACCTTCCTCAAATTGGGCCCCATTCACGTCATTCCTTAACTAGACCCCCAGTGTCCCCCCAGGGCCCCTACTGTGTCACCTAGTGTCTTGTCATGCTTCCCAGGGTCCCCAGCATGTGCCTGGACACACCCCCTGCTTTCCTGCCAGTGTCCTGGTCATTCTCTTCCTAGAGACGCCCACCTGCCTCCTCCCACCTGCCCCTTCCCACCTCCCACCTGCCTCCTCCCACCTGCCCCTTCCCGCCTCCCACCTGCCCCTTCCCAGCTCCCACCTGCCCCTTCCCAGCTCCCACCTGCCTCCACCTGCCCCTTCTCACCTCTCACCTGCCCCTTCCCACCTTTCACCTGCCCCTTCCCACCTCCCACCTGCCCCTTCCCACCTGCCCCCTCTTACCTGCCTGCCAGCCCAGATGCAGCTTGCAGAGTTGTCCCTGTGCCTCCTCCTCGGGCCGCCCTTGCCCTGTCTCTGCAGCTGGTTGGTCCTGCTCACTCTAATGCTCTGCACTGGTGTTGCCTCTGCTTGGCCTCTGGGGCTGGCTGTGTTCTGGTTTCTGGCAGG